AACAGTACTCTGGTAGGAAGCAGATCTATACGGGGCACGTGCTGTCGTTGGCAGAAAATTTTGCAATATACGACCCCTTCACAATTTCCTCCTCTGATACAACCCCTCTTCCCCATTCCCATCCTGCCTACCTTACTCCTGAACTTCCTCAACTTCGGGGGAGGGGATGGGAAAGATATTTAGCGCACCTAGACAGGAAATACCGGCAGAAGTCAGCGAACAAAAACATTTTCCAAACAGCAAATAAGTTCTTCTCCCTCCAGCGACAAATCAAGACCCCTCCCCCATTGGGGATCCTCAACGCACGACGTGCTGCGATCCCAGATGCGAACCCCGGGACCATGTTCGCACTGAGAGACGCCACTCGTCCGCACCGCTAACTCCAAAGAGATGAAGCAATGTATAAAATGTGAATGACTTGATGTGTTCTCAGGGTGGAGTTCGATTAGAAGTTCTCAACTCACTCGATGAACCGATAGCAATCTTCACTAATTTCCTGGACCCGTACAATATAACGTAAGCGCTACCGTACTCAATGAATCATTTCGGACCTTCAATGAATAGTTTCAGACGCGGTGGAAAAGCCATCATTCTACCACCTGGTTTCGAATGTCCCGATTGTGCGATTCGAATAACCCATCAAGCCACGGAATATGGCGACGACTACTTCTTCTACAGCTGCGCCGACGTGAACATCCTCAAAGGTTTTTCATGCCGTTTTTCGACGTTTTTCTGCTAATCACCTTGCATCTGCGAGGGGCAAAAAAGACCTCCACCGGTTGCATATTGCCTCATCTACCCGTAAGTAGCTAGCAACCAGCGCAAATCGTCTGATGTGAATCTTATCAGGAGGGTCGTGCTGGCCGCTGAACAGGCGGGGTCGTGGTAACAGTAACAATTCACAAGTCCATTGTGATGTTCCCTAAACCAGACTTCTAGAACTAGAAGTAGTCCTGAACGATCATTCAAGCCCTTTACGGTTAGAAGCGCCTCGATGGTTCTACATGGGTGCAGAAAGCATGCCCCAGTGTGTAGAAAACATTTCAACATTTGAAACATTTCTTGCACCCTTCTAGAGACAGCAAAACTTGCACTATGATTAAACGTTTTTGGTGTGCGCCAAACTTCTACTTCATTTGAGAATCTTTGTGGTTTTGCAATGTGGGTTTTTTATTCGTATATTGGTTCACGTCATGCTTTGCATCATGTGTAGCACCTCAGAAAAGCCTAGAGAAAGTTTACCCGTCTTGATAAGAGCAAGCTTTTTGTGCTTCAGAAGCCCGTTAATTGGCACCAGGGTTACCTAGGATGACTTCACTACTGACTTTGGCCTCGCAAATAATCACTTACAAGCAAAGGACGTGAGTGCAGACAGAACTAGAACCTGGGCCCGGACCCGAGCAAGTGACTATTACACG